ACAGCTTACGTTTTTCTGACATCTTTTTGAAAGCTTAGGGGAGAGTTGAAGAGTGAAATAATTTATTCCAGAGGGGTTTGTGGATTTGGAAATTTCGGATTTTTTCCCTCCCCTGTTTATAATTGTTAAGGCAATCCAGCCCAATCATGGTGATGTTCAAGAAGATCAAATCTTTTGAGGTGGTCTTTAACGACCCTGAAAAGGTGTACGGCAGTGGGGAGAAAGTGGCTGGCAGGGTGATAGTGGAGGTGTGCGAAGTCACTCGAGTTAAAGCTGTCAGGATCCTGGCATGCGGAGTCGCCAAAGTCCTGTGGATGCAGGGATCCCAGCAGTGCAAGCAGACTTCTGAGTACCTGCGCTACGAAGACACCCTCCTCCTGGAAGACCAGCCAACAGGTGAGTGGCCGGCTGAAAGTACATTCCAGAGGGTAGTTGAAACGAATGATTGGAGCTTATGCTAAATATTCGAAGTTGCTCAGGTTGAGCAGCTTGAATTTCGTGTTGCTTCCTTTTTTAGTTTTAACTTGCAGATTCTGTCCTCAAAAGGGGTGGTTTCTAGAATTTCTTAGTGTTGTGTTCTGAAGGTGATCCTGAGGGATGTTTGTTACCTTAAGCTGTTAAAAGGTTTCCTGAAAAGAAGTTAATTCTTGTTTTCTGTTTGAGGGGATGGTAGCTTCTCTGTCCTGGTTGAGCCTTTCATCATTGCAGGGCTTTGTAACTTTTTGTCCAACACAATGCATCAGAATCTTTCCTTTTAAGAATATAAGGGGTGAAAATAGGGGAGCTACAATAGGCGTGCATGCTGCCCAAGAATTCCTTATCACACAGATGCATTTTAAGTGTAACAGGAAACCTGATGGGCTACTCTTTTTTTCTTACTCTTAGGTGAGAATGAGATGGTGATCATGAGACCTGGAAACAAATACGAGTACAAGTTCGGCTTTGAGCTTCCTCAGGGGTAGGTGTCTGCTAAATACATCTTTGGACTTTTTTAATGCCTAAAAATTGTCCCCATCTTTGATCATTTACTCTTGGTGGAGAGGACTTTTGGATTATGCTTCTTTTTTCTTGACACAGGCCTTTGGGAACATCCTTCAAAGGAAAATATGGGTGTGTAAACTACTGGGTGAAGGCTTTTCTTGATCGCCCCAGCCAGCCAACTCAAGAGACAAAGAAAATCTTCGAAGTGATGGATTTAGTAGATGTCAATACTCCTGATTTAATGGTGAGATTCATTTCAAAATTCTCTTCTTTAGGTTTTAGGGATGATAAGTCAAGAGTCTTGGGCATCAGATTGAAACACCTCAGGGATGGGAGAGAAAGTTGCCTATTCTCAGTAAGGAGTGGAAAGGAAAAAGCAGAGAAGGATCTCTAGAAATTCTCAAAAGGCCTTATTTTACTCCTCTTGAATATAGGCCCCTGTGTCTGCTAAAAAGGAGAAGAAAGTTTCCTGCATGTTCATTCCGGATGGACAAGTGTCTGTCTCTGCCCGAATTGACAGAAAAGGATTCTGTGAAGGTAAAAACCTTGAATTTAAAATGGTAGACTAATGAAACTGAAACTGTGGTTTTGGGAATGAGATCAGGGGATAGAGAATGGAATAAAAGCCATTAATTGTACTAAGCATCAGCTAATAAGTTTTCATCTTTCTCATTATTAGGTGATGAGATTTCTATTCATGCTGACTTCGAGAATACATCTTCCCGAATCGTGGTTCCCAAAGCTGCCATAGTAGCCCGCCACACTTACCTTGCAAATGGCCAAACCAAGGTGCTGACACAGAAGTTGTCATCAGTCAGAGGCAATCATATCATCTCAGGAACCTGTGCATCATGGCGTGGCAAGAGTCTTCGTGTGCAGAAGATCAGGCCTTCTATCCTGGGCTGCAACATCCTTCGAGTTGAATACTCCTTACTGGTGAGTGAGTGGAGTCAGAGAAATTGTTCATCTTTCAAAATAGCAGTGGTTTCTCCTGAGTTCTAGTCTAATGAACTACCATTTTCCTTTGTAGATCTATGTTAGTGTCCCTGGCTCCAAGAAGGTCATCCTTGATCTGCCCCTCGTAATTGGTAGCAGGTCAGGTCTGAGCAGCCGGACATCCAGCATGGCCAGTCGGACCAGCTCTGAAATGAGTTGGGTAGATCTCAACATCCCTGATACTCCAGAAGGTGAGCCAGACCTAATGTCTTTTCTTCTTTGGCCTGCTTGGGTTTGTGAAATTGTGATGGTCAGGTATTTCATGGGCAGATTTCTTATGCCTATGTTTTTTCCAGCTCCTCCTTGCTATATGGATATCATTCCTGAAGATCACCGATTGGAGAGCCCCACCACTCCTCTGCTAGATGACACAGATGGTTCCCAAGACAGCCCTATTTTTATGTATGCTCCCGAGTTCAAGTTCATGCCACCACCTACTTATACTGAGGTGAGAATTGTCATTTTACCGCTGCGTTTGTCCTAAGCCTTCTATAGGAAGTTGAGTGGGAGAGATTGCTAAACTGGGTGGTTCTTTTCGTTCTTACCCAAACTAAACTGGTCGTTTCTTTTTCTTCTCGCCCTGCCTCCCCCAGGTGGATCCCTGCATCCTCAACAACAATGTGCAGTGAACATGTGGAAGAAAAGAAGCAGCTGTACTTAACTTGTTTCTTTCACCTCTCTTCCTGGACTCTTAATTTTTCAGAGACTCAAGAGTCTCTACAGTGGAATATGGGTCCACCCCAGCCTCTGATTCCACAATGTAGGAGGTGATCAGCAGGCAATCTCCTGGGCCTTAAATGGTGCGCACACGTACTCAGGCAGTGAGATGTTGTGATATGGGAGTGTTTGCTGGATGGGTTTAAAAACACACTAGAAAAACTCAGGCCCATCCCGTTTTCTCAGCTCTTAAAAACTGAGGCATTTTAGTAGTTTTTGAAGAAGGGGCAGAAATGGCCTCCTGACATGGTCTTCCCCAGGTTTTTTGGAGAGGATTATGTATCTTGAACTTTTGTGTTATGTGGAGCAGAGCCAATTTAGCAAACGAGGAAAACAAAAAGGAAAATATCATGGCCAAAAATTTGGGACAAGAAGGTTTTTAAAATAGGTGTTGCCCTTTGTTTTTACACTTATAGAGAGAAAAAACAAAGCATAAACCTTCCAGAGCTGATTTGGTTTGAACTTAGGAGAGAAATTCCCAGGTGAATTAAAGAGAAAAGGCTCTAAGGTTGTCTTTGCTTAGAATGTACTTCTATCTGGCTTAAAGCAGTTGTAACTATGCCCCACCAAAGGTCTTAAAAGCCATTTTTAGAGCCTATTGCACTGTGTTCTCCTGTTGGCAAATGTTTTCATGCAGGAGAATGTGTTTTTCTTATGTGACTCCTTGGAATGGATTCTGAGGTGATAATTCTTAGCACTTTAGTTCCTGTCAAATTTTGGGTGTTTCTTTTTTTTGTTCCCCCTGATCTCAAATGTAAGCTAAAACTGGTCTACTATGTTTCTAGGGGTAAGCACAGTGACAAAAAAATATATATATCATGTTATCCCTCACTTTTGAGACTTTGTCCCAGTGTACAGAATTCTGTCATTCTGACACTCTAATAATTCTGTGAGAAGGGTTGCTGCTATCAGCCTTGGCCACTGTGACTTCTCCACACTTGAGAAGGAACTCTAGATCAAGATGCCCCTGATACTGTGATCAGAGCTTCCAGACATTGCCATGAGAAACAAGAGGGCAGGTCTTCACCAAAACCCCCAGGGCTCCCTTTCTGCCCAGTGTTTAGGAGGCAGGGATATCAACAGTCCTCTCTCACTGCAGCCCCTGGCGCTTGGTCAGTCACCCTTAGCCTTAGCACTTTGTTCACTGTCCTGTGTCAGAGCACTGAGCTCCATCCTTTACTGAGAAAGTATGTGGGCTGAAGGTGGTTTCATTTTTTTTTTGTTTTTTTAACTGTTTATCTTTTTGTATGATAAAAACTATATTTTGTACTTAACCAGATATATTTTCACCCCAGTTGGGGGTATTCTTTGTAAAAAACAAAAAAATAAAAATAAAAGTTTTTTAATGACAGAAATGGTTTTCTTGTCTGTGAGATGGTGTTGAAGCTATTTCTAAGTACGCCTGAGGGAGCTTTGCCTGTACTTCACTGTTCCTGGTTTTGGATATCTTGTGGGGAAAACACTACCTATGTGATTGGGCCCTAAAGATTATAGTCAGAGTGGGGGTTGGGATGAAAAGGGAAGGAATGTGAGCTACATTTAGTTTTAATTCCAATTAACTAAAGAACTGTGGTGGGATATTCTGGTGGTATAGACTAGTTTTTCACAACTGTAGATACTCATGAGGAAACACCTTCAATTTTGGAGTGCATGAGTCTTTAAAAGATGAGCTCTTTGGGCACCTGAGTGGTTCAGTCAGGAGAGCATGTGACTCTTGATCTCAGGGTTGTGTGCGTGAGCCCCTTCTTGGGTATAGAGGTTAATTAAAAAGATCTTTTGAAAATAAAATGAGCACTTGAGATACACAGAACTAAGATTGGAGAGGGGGTTTTAAAGGAAAGGTTATGATTACCTGTTTTATAATTTGGTTTCATCCTAGGGTTTCTTCTCAGCTAAACCTGGTTTATATACAGTAAGACATAAGATGATAATTATTTAGGACTGAAGGATTTAGATGTGTGAGTATTCGTTGAAGGCAGCTACAATCTCTTCTGTTCCTATTGCAGTTTCTATCAAAGAACCACATTATCGTAACTCAGTAAATGTTTGCTGAATATTTAACCCCACCCTCATCCCTTAGGATAGGCTTCTGCAGTACCTATTTCTTCTTTATAGGATGAGAACAATAAATGGATACCACAAGTCCCCCTCTAATTGAAATGATTTTTATTATTCTGAAAGGGGTGATGAGGATGAGCAACCCTGAGACTTCGAAGGTTAATGCACTTTCTGGTTTCTGGCTTATTTAAACTTTTGCAGACAGTTAATCCAGGCCTTTAACTGGGGATTTGGGGGTTGACTTTTCTGTGGACTTCCACGCAGTAATTCCAAATCTCAGACTCCTGAAGTTCATAAAATCAATGTGAATTGAGGAGAAAGTTAGATTGAAAAGATTCTTTCCCACTTCAGTCTTTATCTGTCTTTCAATCTTAGGAGCTCTCCTCTCTTGGCTCTTAGTTTCTCCTTCCCAAGGTGTCTGGCTCTAGCTTCCTGTAGTCCTGGTGACTCTCTCCTTTAAGACTACCTCTGCGGCCTCCTTTTCTTACCTGTATGAAGAGAGTTTGGTGGCTCCTCCTCCCTTCGCTGAATTTGACCAGGAAACTAGGTCAAAGTTGATGGAAAGTTTTTTGCGCAGCTTGTTTTCCAGGGACTGGAGGGGTGGAGCAAGGACAAGAGCAGGCCAGAGGGCAAGAGAGAGAGAGAGAGAGAGAGAGAGAAAGCCTGCCTGTTGGAGTAAATGGCTGACTAATGTGACAAGATAGGAGAAGAGGATAGCAGGGAGAGGGTAGATAACTTACACCTAAGTTCTGCTAGAGATCTGATTCTTTAGCAGCCACAGCACATGCATCTCCTCTTGTTACCAAAATACCTCAAATTCAGCACTGTCCAATAGAACTTTCTGTGATGATAGAAATGTTTGCTATGTTTACTAAATCAGTAGCCACTGGCAATTGAGCTCAAACGTGGTGGTGTGACTGATGAACTAAATTTTTATTTTTGTTTAATTAAATTTAATTAGCTCTGTGTGTGACTAGTATTAAATGACAATACTGAACAGTGTAGCAAAATATGAGAAGGAAGGAAGCTATTCTCTCAGAGGAAACTCACCCTTCCCCTAGACCACCAAAGGCTCCACTCAGACTTCCTTTTGTCTTTTACACACAACTTCTACCTTACCTCAGGACATTTTCTGTATATAGGCTCCTTTAACTGCAACTGGGTAGATTTGGGGCCAACCTTTCCCGTGCTCTTCTCACATGCTTTTTAACTTTTAAAGAGCCAAAACCTACATGTACAGCCATTAGAGGAGATCCAGTTCTTAGTATCATTTATTCATTAGGTCCAATCTGGTATACAAAGATCTGAGAGAAGAGAGCAAGAAAACAATTTAAAGGGAGAAAACTAGAAAAAGTAAAATTAACAAAAAAGTGCAGGTACTTCCACAGCCAGGGTCCTTGGCTGCCTCGATACCTCTGAGCAGACTGAAAACACAAGGGTGTGATTTGGGTCAAGCCTCTGGGAGGGAAAGCGTGGAAAGATCTGTCCGAACACCTGGTCAACAAAAACAATCACGCAGGAACTGAAAGGTATGGAGTGGGGTGAAGGAGTGTCCTTTGCTCAGTTCCCTCAACAGCCTATAGACCACCCTCCCTAGCATTTTCCTTGGACTATCTACGTCTAGGTGATGGAATTCATAAGGGAGACAATGAAAATATTTTACTGACCCTCCAATGGCTGGAACCCCTGTCCTAAGCACCCTGACCTCAACAGTTCTGTACTAGAAGAGCAGACATTTTTGTCCCATTCTCTATTCTTACCCTCATTCACTTCCATTTCCTAAGTTGAAAACCACCCTGCAAAGGGACTGCAGACCCAGGACTGTAGGTCCTGGCCCAACAGGTGAGTCTACAGCCTAGAAAAAGTTCAGAGATTAGCCTCCCTATACCATTTAGGAGAAATAATACAGTGTGGAGTCAAACTATCTGAACCCCAATCCTAATTCCACCATTTAACAAGCCGTTCAAGCTTGGACAACTTGTTTAAGATTTCTGGAGCTACCGTTTGATATCTGTGAAATGGGGGACAACAATAATACCTACCTCAGAAGACTGTTGATGGGGTTTTAAAAATAAATGTGAAGTGTTAGAACAATGGCAAACAAGTGCTTGTTATCTAAAATAAAGAGGAGGCATATCCTCCACCACCCTGATTAGTTCAGTTCCAGGCATGTCTCCAAAATGGTCCCTCCTTTGTGACCTAGCAGAAGTAAGGCCATTCTCTCTTCACTCCTCTTGATTCCCTTCCTGTGTTAAGGGAACAAAACATTCTGAGAAGAGGTCTATGTATGGCCGCAGACTCAGCCTGGAGTTAATCGTGGTAGGGGAGAGGTTGGAACTCCCATCTTCAGACCAGGACAGGCCCTCTGAACACTGCCAGCATTGCACAGTATAGCGCAGTAAGTCCTAGAGTTTTCTCTCTCACAATTCCAGAGAGCCTCATAGGCCTCTGGATTAACCCTATCACTTTCTGGAAATTAATTGAGCTTTCTTAACTTTTTAGTAGACAACTTCAGGAGAAAGTTTCCCACCATTTAAAGTCATAAACTGGGGAACAGAGAGTCCTGGGCAAACAATGTGACACGATGAAGAACTCTCAGACTCCTTATTTGAATGTAATCGAGTTTTTTCCTGAGGTGGACTACACTGAGTGGCACAAACCCAGTGGAGGTGAGCCCTCTGTTGAGGCCCAGTTTAGCCTATTTCATCTATTTCTGTCCTGTCTTGAACTTTCCCTTGGCTTGACCCTGCTGTATTCTTTCCTGGGCCCTTTGTTCCGTAAGGAGAAAAGAATGAACCGGCTCTGAAGGCTGGGATTTTTCTGACTCCCAGTTGGTTGGTCATCTCCAAGCAATGGGAGTGATGGGAGGAGGAGGAGGCAGAAAGAGCATGGGTCCTGGATTGTGGCTCTCATGTGCCTTGAGTCCTAGGATGTCAAGCAAGGTCCATTCTCATTCTTTTTTGGTATGATGGAGCTGCTAATTAGCTCTCTAAGTCAATCAAGGGGTCGGTAAACGGGTTCTTGGAAATGTCCTGGCAGGGCTGGGTGCCCAGCTTCGATATTTTTAACTTTCTGGACAGATGGAGAGAGGAAGGATTTCAGTTGTTGGGAGGGGAGGTGGAGGTCAGGGGCATGAGAATTATGTTTCCCTTATACGGTTCTGTGGCTAAAGACCCTCCTTCTCCACTTCACATATCTAAATTCTGACTTCCTCCTTCATCTACCCAGATTCACAGTGAATCCTGCTTTTGTCTCCTGTTCTCCCATTTCACTCCATTTCTAGTTTTTCATGCCTGTCTTACCTTCCCATTCTAAGGAGACCTTGCTTTCTGTTCAAGTCCCCAAGATGTTTTTAGCTCCATATCTCTGTAGATCAAGGAAAGGGTGGTAGGATTGTGGCCAAAGCCTGCTTTGCTTTTCTTGGAGAAAGAAGCCCGTCAGTGGTACCCAGAGGCTTCTCTTCAGTCCTAGCTCTTCAAGCTATCCTGTAGGAGAGCTCCAAATTTACTTGCAACCTCACGCACCTCACTGCCCTCAACTTTTGGGAATAGAATTTGAGATCTTGAAAGCTCAGATGAGTCTCATACAGCTTTGGAAAATTGAGGAAATATTAGTTGAGATCAGGGCCTACAAACCAGGGGGCCATTGGTGCAATGAGCTTGCAGATGTTTAGAAACCAGTACAATTTCTTCCTAAAAATTTGAATGGGTGGTAAAGATTAAAAAAATCATATTTCACCAAAAGCTACTGTTCTGGCTCCTCTTAAAAAGCAATTATATTTGGTAACAAGCAGCCCACATTCCTTCATGGCGTCCACCCGCAAGAGCTGAAGGGACCAGGCAGGCTCTCGTTTGCTCACTTCTATCACTACTTGTTATATCACACTCCCCAGCTTCACCCCTGTATGTCTGCCTGACTCCTGTCTGGTGTTTAGGTTTGTCTTAAGTTGTTTCCTCTAAGGAGAGCTTCTCAAATATTTCCTCTGAGGGACCCCTAAGATTAGGGAGAATGAACCATTTTCCCTTGGGGCTTCTGGAACACTCCAAAGTCACCTGTCAGAAGCCAAAAATGCTGTTGAAGTACCTATTTTATGTTTAAAAAGGGCAAATTTTGATTTATACCACACAGTACATTTGTGTGGTGTAGCATAAAAATAATTTTATCTTCCTCCACCAGATCCTAAAAGTTAAATTGAAACACTTGAAGATATACTGTCTGCAACTCCAAATATTCCTCACTACATCACCCATAAATAACCCAAGTTAGGCACCACAGTGCTAAAGACACAAGGCAAAGAGAGACATGGAAAAAAAGACACGGAGAGAGCATCAACAAGAGGAAAAGAATATGAAAGACAATAAGAATGAGTGAGTGATAAGCTCTTTCTGGCCCTAAGTCATACCTCCTGACCTGGCCCAGGCCAGCTCCTGGGAAATTTGTAGACATCTCTGATATCTCTGGACAGGTGTTGGAATGGTGGCTCAGGGTGAAAAACAAGTCTCAAAACAGGAGCCAGGCCAAGTAAGGGAGAGGTGAGGGGCTAAGAGCAGCCAAGTATGGTCAGACGGGAAAGATTGTCTAGGGGCCAGGAGAGAGGCTTGGAGACAGGAAGCAGAGGGCTGAGAAAAGGGCTGGTCAGCATTTGCCCTTTCTCCCACTAAGCCCATCTTTGTTTCACTTCCTCTTACTTCCCCTGACTCAGAAAAATGAAGTGAAAGAGTTGCCTTGATCTCCTTATATGAGGGAATCTTCTTTCCAGAATGGCTACATCTTCCGCCATACAAGAGCAGGAGGATGAGTACCAGGGTTCCTTTCCCTGTCCAAATGGGATTTCATCTCTTCTCTCCCCAAGATAGGAAATACTCCAGATCTGTGTTCCTGACTTGGGTGAGTTTATTACCCCCACCCTCTTTGGTAAGGCAAAGACAGGTATAACTAATCTCCCTCCTATTCCAGTACTTTCAATTCTGCCCTGAATGTAACAAAGAATGTCAAAGACAGGAATTGGATATTTCCCATTGACCATTGTGTACCAAGAGAAATGGAATCACAGGATGGGGAAGATTCAGGGAGAGGCAGGAGTCCAAGTTTTGGGAAGCCATCTCACAGCTGAGGATCCAGGGAGTAGGAGGGGTTTAAGAATGGGGAACAGTCTCAGACCCAAAGGTCGTGGCGACATAGCCTCTCCCTGTGTTTGTCAGATCTGTGTCTGAGGAATCCTTGGACCCTAAAAAGGTCTTAAAAGTCTTGGGCCTTAGCCTCTCAGGTCCTGCAGTTAGGGCTGGATCACTGTCTTCCCACTGTGTCCCATTAGGGTGCCCCGGGGGGAACTTCCCTTCCCTTTAGGATGCAAAACAGCAAACTAAGTTGCTGGAGATAAAGCAAAGGCCTTTCTGAGGTGATACTGGAACTTCTTATTTTCAGCTTTCTGATCCCAAATGACCTTGAGGAGATAGTGAGGCTCAGTAGGGGAAAGGTCAACGGCGAAGGGGTCACCACTGGTCTGACTCGGTTAGCTAACTGAGCTATTCTTGTCTAGCTCACATCTCTTCCCTGTCCTCTGGCCAGACATAATATGTCTGGGGAGATGAAGAAGCCCTGCCCCACCAGTCCCTTCCTCAGTCAGAAATTTCTCCACACTGCTTGATGTGAGTCCTGACCTGCAGATTGTGACCTTGACCTGTGATGCAGGGGTTGTCCTCTCCCTGAATAGTTGATAGAATTGCTGATCCTCCTGCTACCTACCAGGGCTGAGGCTGTTTCTTGGAAAGGACTGGCTGCATGCCTGAGGTATCTTTAGCTTGCCCAGGCTGAAAATAGGTGGGGAAATCCAGGGGATGGAATGAGTTCAGGAAAAGCTGGACACGTCTAACCTTTGTTCTCAAAACCATTTAGACTCTTGCAGGTGGATCAACATCAGCCTGAAGTGTTCTTAGTGGATCGCTAATCCAAATTCTGTCTCATTTGAGGCTTGAAGCCTTGTCGTGATTATTCCCAGGGCACAAGGCTGTGGGGTGGTGAAATTCCATAATCCGTAACTCCATAAACATCAGACCATAACTAGTGCTTTGCTCAGTGGAGATGGCAGACTTTCCTTTTGGATTAGTTCTTAACCAGCCCATGCCTACAGGCCACCCTTCCTTCCTTTCAAAGTTTGCGCAGCAATAAAAATGAATTGGAAATAATTGCTTTTTCCTCACTAAGCCATGGGCACCCTATCCACCTGATCGCTGACCTTCCAATTTTCTTGGGTTTCCAATTTTCTGAGTAACATGTTGCATCCAGGTTTTCCATTCAGCTGTCCTTCAAACCACTGGAGTCCCTTTGAAGTTTGCAGACCCCACTCTCAAGCTTCCTGCCCAACATGGGAGGGCACTAGGAGCTACTAGGATGGAACAGAAGAGCAGGGAAGGGTAGGATTCTTGCCAGAGAACCCACCCTGCCTGAGGCCAGCATGGGCCTGGCTATGGGTGTGGGAGCAATCTGTTCAACATAAGCAGGCAGGTAGCAGAGGGCTGAGCAAGCACATTGTGGGTCCTCTCTAAATGTCTGCAGACGGATCCTCAACCTCTAACTTCTCAGCTGGTCCTCCAGAGAAATAAACAGTCGTGACTGGTTACTAGACCTTAGGTTTCAGCCTCAGCCTGCCTGATGGAACCTATGGAAAGTAGGGGAGAGGTCAATGGAAACAGTCTAACTCTGCCTGGAACAGTTCTGGAATCTGGGGAAGCTGCTAGATCTCGTGTCTCTGGCTTTGTTCAGCAAGGTCACCTGCCAGGAGTGGCAGGACGCCAGATAGGAAAGAATCCAAGAATGGTCTGATCTTTCTGACGCTTTGTTTTTGAGGCAGTGCAACCAAACCCAAGTGATCACTCTAACCTTTGCCCTCCTTTCTCCCATTTCATGGGAAAAGATGTATGTATAGAGTGGTGGGGGAGGATTGTGTCCCGGTCCTCCTCTGCTCACTTTTGTCCAGAGTCTTCTTTGCTTCTACTCTTTTAAAGTCCTAGGCTGGCAATAGGTGGGATCTGGGGGGATGGCTATGCCCCCAACATAAACACAGATACAGTTTATCAGGTTAGGACTGGTATATGTGAGAGAGGGGGACAGGAGGCAAAAGATTTTTCAGTGTCTTTCACATTTGTTTCTTGCTGATTTCTCCACAGCCACAATTACAGGCTTAAGTGTGACCATGGGAAACCCCAGTGACAGGTCCCACGGCCCCTCCCCCACCATTCTACTCACCTAACACCTTGGAGAGCTAGAAAAGGAAACAGAACAGTCACCACAAATTGCTTAATAACTCTGGAATGTTCTCTTTCTATTCCTGCTTCTTTCTCTGTTCTCTTGGCTGCCTCTACCTTAATACCAATTACCACAGACAAACCAGGCTTTCAAGGTGCTTTCCCTCAACGGAGTCACAGCCCCTATTCATTTTTTACAACAGGGTCAGAAATACCTAACAGGAGATTGCCAGTCACTATGCCTGAAGATGGCTGGAGAATTTCTTGAAGGTTCTCTTCCATCCCCTCTTTATAACTTTCAAATGTTTAGTAGGGTCGCTATGACAGCATGCCAGCTATCTGTGCCTGCCTCCTTATTCAGTCCCTATTCTGGACACGCACCTCGCCCGTGACCGTTGCATGGCAAGTGGCTGAAACCAATCAGCTCATCGAGGGCTTCATGGGAAGCCAATCAGAGCCTAGGGAAGTGACCTCACCCCAGGGAGAGCTGTGTGGGCGAGAAAGCATCTCTCCGAGCTGTGAGTGTCCCTAAGTCACTCCCCTCCTCCCCACCCTCTTTACTTCCTGTAAAGCAATACCGCCCACCCCCTCTACTCCAAGAAAGGAGTAAGAAAGGCTAACTAAATTCCACAAAGGAAGAATCAAAAGAGAAACTGCAACTCAGCCACAAAGCAGCTTCCGGAAGTGGAGAATGGGGGATCCCTTTGCACAGACCTAGCTTTCAATGTGGGGTCCCCAGGGGCCTGGAAAAGGGTGTGCGATGACGAAGAATCAGCACCTCCTCCCCACTCCCTCCCTGCACCTGGCTTTCTTGACTCTCTCTCGCAAAAATAGCTGCAATCTTTCCTTGTAAACAAGGCTAAGATCAAGGTCAAGTGTGGGAAAGAGAGGGCCCATGTCCCTGTGAACACATGTGAAAAGAGACAATCCCCAGGCGTCCCATGGCCCAAGGACCAGATGCTCAGATGCCAGCTTCAGGGAAAGGGCTGTTCTCTACTACTCTCTCTGCGCGCCTCCTCGATGAGTTCCTGACTGTTCCCTGGCAGGGCTAGATTGGGAGTATGTGTCCCACCAATGGAGTGGGAGGTGAGGAATAAAGGACAGGAAGGCTGTGACCCCCATTGTGTCACAGTGGACTCTGATGCGTAAGGAAAGAATGGCCCAGCTAGGCACTCCCTTCTTTCCTCCAGGCCTCTCCCACCAGGCCTTACCCTGAACAGAGAGACGGATGAAAACATTTTATTTAAAAATATAAAGCTGGTCTTATTCCTCCTAATTGCACACATCCCCAATTATCTTTCACTATAAGAAAGTGGGTGGGAACATACGTTCAGCTGTCTCGGCTCCAGCGACACCAGTGTTTCTTTGACCCTCCTTTCTTTCTTCCATACAGTTAAGCCATTGGTCCTTTGCCCTTTGCCCAAGCTATCAGAGGTGATACACGGAAGGCAGGGGGGAAGGGTACAAAAGAAAGCTAGCTGTCAGCATTGTCCATTCCTATCCCCAGGGCCAAACAGTTCAACTGGGCTCTTAGCAAATGATCTGCCTGTCCAAAAACCAAATAATAGGGACAGTTACTCTCTGTATCTTAAATAAAAAAAAGATCCAAAGGCCCAGGGTGCTGTTCAGGGTCCTTTTTCAGTATATAGCCTCATCCATATTGTCATCACTGTCACCCCCAAAGTCCTCTCCATTGTCAAAATATGACATGATGTAATCAGTTTCCTGAAACAGAACAAATAGAAATCCAAGTCAGGCTTGCTTTCGGCCTTTTCCTTCCTCCCGGTGTGTCAGGCCCCTCCACTCCCCTCCCCACGAAACCATCCCGGGCCTGGGAAGTCCCTTCTGGCTGCAGTTTGCTCTTGAGAAGACCCTAGGGACACATGAAGTGGAGGGCACAATCCTCTGGGGCACATCTCCTTTGGCTCTCCAACCCTCTAGAGAAAACATCGCTGGTGGATGGAGTCGAGACCCCCACAGCTGATGAGGAAGACACGGGGACTGAGGGTGGAAGGAGAGCCCCTTCACCTCTTCATGTTCTTCTTCATCATACTCCTCTTCTTCTTCCTCTTCCTTCTCTTCTTCTTCTTCTTTCTCCTCATCTTCCTCTGAAGTCACTTCTTCCTCCTTTTTCTCCAGGGTCTTATGTGGAGATGAGCAGAAGGAGAAACTCAGACTCAGCTCAGAGAAGGGAAAGAGAGAAGCACACAGAGGCCAAAGGACAGGCAATGAGTCCAGGGTCCAAGTGGTCTCTATGCACATTTCCCCTTACCTCTAGTTTCTGTATTGTTTCTTCCTTATCTTCTGTGTTCTTAAGGGGTCTCTTGGGGATTAGGATGGTGGTCCCTGGTCAAGGAATCAAAAGGTGAACGAACCATCAGAGAGCAAACTTCCTTATTAGCTTTCTACCCCACCCTCTCCCAGAGATGATGTCACTCTGCTGCCCTCATGTGGCCACCATGGCATCCAGCTACAATAGTGGGTGGAGTGGGTTGGAACTGGAAGGGCAGGCAAGACCACCAACTGCCTCCGGGGCCCTCCAGCTGGTGAAGGAAATGTCTCTCCTGCCTCCTTTTCCCAGATACACTCACGTTCCTTTTGTAGCTTCCGCACTCGGATCTTTAGCTCCCGGGGTAAACGTCGCCAATCTGGGAACAGTGGGAATGTAAACGTCAATAAGACCCTGCCTGGGGTCTCCTATGAATAACTGGTTTTAAAAGGAGAGGTAAGAGACAGAATAATGGTGAGGAAGGAAGGGGTTAGCTGGGTCATAGTTACTTAGAACAAAACTGTGTCTTGGAAACCTCCAGAAAGCGGGGCTATTTAATAGGTTTCCATGTAGAGTCAGAGAGTGTTTTGGAACACATCTTGGGCTCCAGTTTGTAAATACTGAATAGAGTGGGGGGTGGGCTGAGAAAGGTGGACAGGTTGGTGGCTTGTGGCATCTTGAGGATTTAAAAAAGGGCAGTAAATGAAAGGGCCCACCACCTACCAGGGT